AAAGCCTGAAGGCGCATATTGGAGATTTGGGGTTCCTGTTCTTGGCTAGACTGCCAAAATGTCTCTCACATGTGGCACCCCCATACTCATTTTTGTTTTCTAATGCTATCACAGGAAATGCAAATATCCCCTATAACTTCAATGGGCATTATCATATACTCTTTTTTGAGAAATATGGGATCTATCAGACTCTGGATCTCTCTCTCTGCCCTTACATTATCTAATCAAACCAAGATTGGTGTGATCAGATGCTTTCCAAATTTCACAAATGACTCTGTTTATATCCTGCAAAACTGAAATGATGAAATGCTTGTAGCTTCCGATTTCTTAGACTATAGAGATGTTTGGCACCATTTCTGGTCTCCAATCAGCTCTATGGTCAGCTGGCAGAAACACACATTCTCAGGTTCCCCCGATAGCACAGGACTGCCCGAGAGAAGGCAGTGGGAGAGGGCATCATCTCCCGCTGCTTTTAAAAGCAACCCTGCAGCTAATTAGCCACTAAGATTGCTTTTACATGAAAGCCGATCGCGCGGCTGAAAAAAATTATACCAGGATGATGGCTGCAGCTGTAGGCATCATCCTGGTATAAAACCATTCAAATTCCAGCGATGTACCAGTACATCGCTGATCCTTGTTGGGTATATATGCTATGTTCTTTTTTTATTTCTGTATGCAGCCTGTGGGCTGAATGGGGAAAAAAAAAGAGAAGAAATATCTGCCAGAAAAAAGTGTGTGGTATGCCCACCATTAGAATGTTACCGTCCTGCATCCACCCACTTCTAATGGTGGGCACACATTAGGTCACACGGTGCCACATGCGCCAGTTCCAAGATTGTACAAATGTCTAAATAGTGACTCGCTTGAATAAAAATTGTCCACGTAGAAGTGGTACCCCATATGGAAAAAGGATGACAACCAAGTCCCCCAAACTATCTTGCCACTACTCCCCATGTAGTCTGGGCATCCGGGGGGCTTCCATGTGACTATCTTTTCCTCGTAAATCCGAAACTTATATATATATAGCCTGTTACCCTCTCACAGGTTCTTCTACATCGTGACCCCATATCTTGCACACTTGCTGGGGAGAAATTGTTTGAATGCAAGGTGGCCAGAAAAATTAATGAGGGACTCATCATTGGAGATGTTTTGCTGGGGAGTATAGACATCTGCAAATTTTAGGTTAAGACGATTTACGAGGAGCTGAATTTTGTGGAGTCGGTCTAATTCAGGGGCACCTCGAGGATGACAGAGTGTTTGTCGTTGAAAATGCATAAAACACATTATACTCTCATATCTATGCTTGGCCATGGCAGCAGAGAACACCGGCATATGATGAATCGGGTCTGTGGACCAATACAACCGCAATTGATTTTTTTTAGTAATGCCCATGTTGAGGGTTAGGTAGGCCCCCAAAAAAAATGTAAATCCGGAAACTAAAATGGGTTTCCATGTGAATGATCTGGCAAGGTTTGAATTTGGGTTGGCGGCGATAAATTGTTGTGCATATAAATTGATTTGATCCACAATCAGTGCATACAGATCTTCCATGAAAAACAGCTCCAAAAAAATCAAGGGGAGTAGTTAAATTTGCTGTTTCCACCTGAATTCCGGGTTGGGCAGTGAATGGGGGAAGTACAGATTATGCAGAATTTGTGGGCTGCCAATCAGGATTTGCAAGCACATCTGGAAGGATACTAGGGGCTCTACGGGCCTGTGTGCAAATTCTTGGTGGCTGCGAGACAATACTTGTGCTAGCCACCGCACCAGCTTGTACTGCACTTATGGAATTTGCCACGTCACCAAGTGATACCACAGTGCTGGTATTATTATTATTATAATAACAGGATTTATATAGCGCCAACTGTTTGCTCAGTGCTTTACTATATAACGGGAGACAATACAGCAACAATACAGTTCAATACAAGAGGGTTAGGAGGGCCCTGCTCCTTGGAGCTTACAATCTAAGAGGTATGTGAAAGACCAGAATGTACTAGGTTGCTGGTGCTTGCCAGTTCACCAATAGGTAGCGTGGCACTAGAACTGGCACTCTGCTGCATATGAGAGTCATCAAAATTTACCGACAAGTGCTAACAGAGATCAACACTGCGGTTTTTTGTGCAATGTATCAAGTGACAGTGACCTACTGACTCTGCACAGGTGCTGGCAGGTTCCGGGGCTGATCCCGCTAATGCTGCGTTTTTGGGGATGTTATACTAATGTGAACGCTGGTATAGTGCTGATCTGATCAAAGATATTGATCCGTTCAGACACTATACTAGCAATGGAGGTTTATTGTGTATGAACGTGTTCCTGGTAATCAAAGGGTTAAATGTGATTACTTGTGTACTGACGGGCAATCTGATGCTATCTGGGAGGGGCGTAAAAACCACAGGAGCGCAAATCATGTATATGTATGTGATTTTGCGCACTCGTGCCGCCCTGTAGCAGTATTTCTGCAATAGGGCGGTTTAGGAAGCAGTTACAGAAGCGGTTTTGTGTTACGTCGCTGCGTTACTTTAACTGACAATTGCGTGGTCATGCAACGCTGCACCCAAATGAAATTTACATCCTTTTTTCCCCACGAATTGATCATTCTTTTGGTGGTATTTGATCGCCTGTGCGTTTTTTATTTTGTGCGCTATAAAAAAAAAGCCCGACAATTTTGAGAAAAAAAAAACAATATTTTGGACTTTTTGCTATAAAAAATGTCCAGTAACAAAATTTAAAAATCAAATTTCGTAATAAATTTAGGCCAAATGTATTCTGCAACATGTCTTTGCTAAAAAAAAAATCCCAATACGTGTAAATTAATTGGTTTATGTGAAAGTTATAGCATTTACAAATGGTGGTATATTTACTGGAATTTTTTTTTTTCTTATACTAATAATGACGGTAAGCAGCGGCTTATGGCGGCGATCAGCGACTTATGGTGGGACTGCGGCAGACATTCTGACACTGGGGGGAAAACTGACTTGGTTTCACTGACATCCCCAGTGACACCAATACAGTGATCAGTGCAAAAAAAAACACTGATACTGTACTAATGGCACTGGGAAGAAAGGGGTTAACTTTTGGAGGCAATCAAAGGGTTAACTGTGTGAGGGGAGTGTTTCACTAGGGGGCCGGGGTGTGTTCTTCACAGGAACACACTGGTCTGGAAAGCTGAACTCTGCTATCCAGAACAGTGTGCTGGAAACTGACAGGTTTCTCTGTCAGTGATTGCTGGTAATCACTGGGCTCCGGCGGGTAATCACCGACCGGGACCCGGTAATTGACACCCGCGGCTGCGATCGGTGGCGCGGGTAGGGCGGTTGCACACCTCGCGTGTGCCCCCTACCCAGTATGCAAAGTCACGTATATATACGTGATTTTGCGCAGCGGTGCTGCCCCTCTGCAGTATATGTACTGTGGCTAGTCGGCAAACCGGTTAATAGAATCTAACATTAAAGAAAGCAAAAAGTCAGCGCTTGGAGGAAAACCGGCAGCTTTCAGACAAAGCTTAATGTGCCAAATCCCTTCTGGTAAATGAATATAGAGTGCAAAGCCAAAAAAAAGAATCATACACAGTAAACATATACCACTAATACCTAAAAAATGTGCAAATAAATAAAAATGTAAGAAATCATCAAAGAATGTGCAACTGTCCAAATAAATGAATAAATATATCACCAATTCATCAATATATGTGTAAAACCAATAAATCTATGAGAAAATAAATAAAACGCTTTTGTTGTAATTCATCCCAAATAAGAAAAAAAGTTCCATCAGTGAATATATATGTAGCAAATCATCAGTGTATCTTCTCGTGAGTATTGAAACTTCCAACAGTGAATGTCACCAACTACCACAGTCACCAAGCACTCACCAGAACGAATGGCCTGCACAGACCAAGGTAGCGTAGGTGTTCTGTAAATCAACCTATGGTCTCCCTTCTGTCAGCAACTCTGGTCCCTTTAAAAGCAAACGGCTATATTGTACTTCACCACTTGAGGGCAATTCTGAGTGTTGCTTGCTGAGTGAAGATAAGACCAGAGCCAGGCGGAAGGGTCATAGTGTAGTATTTTTGTTTTAAATCTCCACTCCATAGCAATTCAACCAAGAATATATAATTGTCAACATCTAAAATCCAACAATATCTGTTGTGACTCACAATGGCCACTGCATGAGTCACTGCTTGATGCAGTGACGTGACGTTGGCACTCAAGCTCCGCCCCCCAACCCCTTGTTTATTTTTTTTTTTTTTATATGTTCTATTGGTAGTACAGGGATTGGAAGGTATGTCTGTTTTTTTATATATATTAACAAAGGCACTAGCAGGAACAGTCTCTCCCAAGACAATACAGTGCACTAGTGAAAATGGGTCTCTTCAAAACCAATGCATTTCACTGGTGGGAATAATCCTGCTACCAAGCATGTACATACTGTTTTACTACAGTCTTCCAGCTGGATCGATGACATCAAGGTGGCTATAGGTGCAGACATTCTGATTATGTGAGCACCACTTAGTCCTGGAGTACTGTGAGCCCTGCTTGCATAAAAAACGACAGGCTGGGCTTACAGGAAATAGGCAGAATGACATAGCTGCCATTCTGTTTGATGAGAACTGCTGGTGCTGGACCAAGGATGAAGCTGGGGACAGCACTGGGTGTAGAAATCAGGAATATTTATGTTAATTTTTAGGGGGAGGGGGCTTTGACATAGAAATAAAAATTGTTGGACTTCTACAATGTACTTCAGAGTACAAATAACTGCTTTGCTTGAAAACAAAGTATCACAAGAAATTTTGTATGATGAATTTCCATAAAAAAAACAGAAAAAGTCTGCATTACAAAAACATTGTAGAAGGTAAATATTTTGTTAAAAATTGTTGTTTTGCAAACGTGGGAAACTGAATAGATTTGTGAAGACTGTAGCTAAAATATGGTATAAGATGCTAGAAACCTTCAATGCATCAGGTTGTCTGTGTAGGAAATTATTTACATTTTCTTTCTTTGCAGGAAATTTATTGCCAGTTTGCCAGACAGAGGAAAGAAGATTCTAGCTTACACAGAAAAAGTAAGAGCTGCCATTGAGGAGCATAAAAGATTGCAAAAGACATCTGACTTGATTTCAAAATTCAAATTGGAATTTGAAGAAAAGCAGAATGAAGTCAAAGAGAAAACTAAATTTTCTAAAGATGCAAGTAACCCTTCATTATCAAAGAACACATTAAATAAAGAAGGTCCATGTAATGTGGATACAACTGTCTCTCCTTTTACAGCCGATACTGTGTCTGAAATGAGCCATAAATCTAATGTAGATGTGGGTAGCCCCCTGGTACAGGAGGATAAGAATCAAAAGACTGCTAAAAACGATGCTGGTACAGCTAATGATTTGGAAGATGGTTTGAAGATGATCAGTGTTAACGAGAGCCTGAAAGGGGAAGTGATGGTTCACCTAATCAACCAGAAAACCCTTCACACCCCTTTACAAATCAGTCACATTTCCTGGAAGTTATAGAGAAGAGGGCGAAGAGTCCAGTTCATCGAAAGGAAAAATTCAGAACAAACAGGTATAATGACTGAAATGCTGTTATATAATTGATACCTACTGTATTAAAAATTATGGAGGATATGCATATGTGTCTAAAGTATTAGAAGCACAAAAAAGATTCACAAGAACAGTATACTGAAATCGTTCCATGATATAGTAGATTCCAACATATATGATTTTATTTTTTTAGGGTTAATTATCGTTAAAGGGTCAGAAAAAGGAAAGTACATAGGCGCTGTTAGAATAAACATTAATATTAACACCAGTTTAATGTCCATAAAAAGTCTCAGTCCAGTGCCCCCTTACATAGAATTTTCCATGCTTTTATTGTCAAATCTTGTAACAGTGCTAGCACGGTTCCCCACCACAGTGAGGAGTGCACACTCACCAACACTCCAGTGACTTCTATGTGCCTAAAGGTCATATAATTCCTCCAAAGTAATGGCCGTCTAATTCACTTCATTCACAGTCTCCTTTCTTGTTGGAACATCCCTCCAGAAAATAATCATATCACCAAACCAAAAGAAAAAAGACTAGTGTAGTATTTTTATTCATATAAAAGTATATAACTGCTGCACTTACATAAGCGTGTGCCCAAGATCAGCACAGATGTAAACAGCTGTGTTAACCACTTCCGGACACTTTTACCCCCTTCCTGTCCAGGCCAATTTTCAGCTTTCAGCACTATCACACTTTGAATGACAATTGCGCGGTCATGCAACACTGTACCCATATGAATTTTTTTGCATTTTTTTGGAGACCAATAAAGCTTTATTTTGGTGGTATTTATTCACCACTGGGATTTTTATTTATTTTTTTGCTATATAAATGAAAAAGTCCAAAAATTTGGAAAAAAAAAGTGTTTTTCTTATACAGTTTTGCAAATAAATATTATTTCATCATAAATCTTGGCCAAAATGTATTCAATTATCTTTTTAGTAAAAAAAAAAATAACCCAAATTAGTTTATAACCAAAAATTATAATTTAAAAAAAAAAAAGTTTACATTTTTATTTTTTTTTATATTTTATTTTTTTTTGCATACTGTTACCCTAGCAGTACAGTGTCACCATGGTGACACTGAACTACTTGTGGGGGGTGATGAAGATTTTTTTTTTCTTACACTGATTGCTTTTACAGCCTGTATGGGTGTAAAAGCAATCATTTCTCCTTTTCTCTGGCTGCATTCTTGCAGCCATTGAGAAATACTGTGTGAGCTGTGATTGGTCACAGCTTGTCACATGGTACAAGGCTGTTGTGAATAGCCTTGTACCATGTGACCTCTGTGATCATTCACAGATTTCACACGTAGTAAGCAATGATGTCAGAAATGACATCTTGCTTACTACTCTGCATGTGATCACTGATTGGCCAATCAGTGATCACATGTTTGGGACCTTGCACAGACGTCCCGTACGACGATCGGTGTTCCACTGTGTCCAGAGGACACAGCGGGCACCGGATCGCGGTGCTGTGCGCTCCCAGGGAGCGCGCACAATCCAAAATGGTAGGCGCCGTTTATGAACGGCAACCTGCCCCTGGACTGCCACTGTCTGTCCGTTTTTATATACAGCGGCTGGACGGCAAGTGATTAATTCTCGACCGCTCCTGGGATCAGCATGCATGCCAAAGACCGAAAAGGAGTGGGCAGACGTGACGTCACTGGAACCGTATATGATAACTCTCAAGGGCTTCAACTAGTTCTGCTAATCGCATTCTCAAGAAGCCACAGAGCCGCTATTTTCCAAGCAGTTCTTATACAACCCAGTTGTTCCCGATTGGTTGAATTTCCCCAATTGATCTACCTATATCAAGGCTGTTTACAGCGTGGACCACATGGGCTTCACAATATACATCCATATATAATATACACATAATCAACATTTTAACCATAACAATCAATAATAACTTCTTTATATTTATTTTGGAAATGAAAACTACTTAAAGCGGAGTTCCACCCAAAAGAGGAAGTTCCGCTTTAAAGATTGGTCCCCCGCTCCCCATTAAGGATTGGCACCTTTGGAGAGCGGGGGAACGGGTACCCAAATTTGACAGGTACCCCACTCCCACTTCTAGAAGTTGTCCTCCTACCCTCCCTCCCCGAAGTCTTGTGGGACACGTGACAGGTCCCAGAAGACGACGGGGCCATTCAGGAAGTGCAGCGCTAATAGTGCATGAAGCCGCAAGCTGTCACAGCCGGGTGCCCACACTGAAGATGCCGGCACCTAGAATACAGGACGGACGGTAAAATGGGCTGCGGCAGGGCAATGCGGGATCGTGGGACAGGTAAGTGGCTGTTTTTTTTAAAGGTCAGCAGCTACATTTTTTGTAGCTGCTGACTTTTATTTTTTTACAGAGTGAGTGGAACTCCGCTTTTAAATAGATGCACAAATAAGGATTCTCATTCTTTTTTATTCCGCAGCACCACCCAGTGGGTAAAATACTGAATACATCATATCTCATTCCTACTTTCATATACAACCAAGTATGTTTGGACTTTTAAACCTCAATTTATATATCCTTAAAAGGTAACTCCACTTTCGAGGGAAAAATATAGCAAATGAAAAAAATATATAGTGCATTCATAAAGTATTCAGACCCCCTTAACTTTTTTTCAATGTTGTTATGTTGGAGCCTGGTACTACAGTTTAAATTAATTTTTTTTCTCATTAATCTACACTCAGCACCTCATAATGACAAAGTGAAAACAGAATTTTAGGAATGTCTGAGTTTATTAAAAAGAAAAAACTGAAATAACGCATGCACTTAAGTATTCAGACCCTTTTATTCAATACTTTGTTGAAGCACCTTTGCGTCTTTGGCAGCAATTACACCTCGAGTCTTCTTGGGTATGACATGACAAGCTTTGCACACCTAGATTGGGAGATTTTCTGCCATTCTTCTTTGCAAATCCTCTCAAACTGAGTCAAGTTGGATGGGGACCATTGGTGGACAGCCATTTTCAGGTCTCTCCAGAGATGTTCAATAGGGTTCAAGTCAGGGCTCTGACTGGGCCACTCCAGGACATTCACAGAGTTGTCCCTAAGCCACTCCTGTGTTGTCTTGGCTGTGTGCTTAGGATCGTTGTCATGTTGGAAGGTGAAGCTTTGGCCCAGTCTGAGTTCCTGAGCGCTGTGGAACAGTTTTTCATTGAGGATATCTCAGTACTTTGCTCCATTCAGCTTTCTGTCAACCATTACTAGTCTCCCAGTCCATGCTGCTGAAAAACACCAACACAGCATGATGCTGCCACCACCATACTTCAGTGTTGGGGTGGTATTGGGCAGGTAATGAGTGGTGCCTGGTTTCCTCCAGACCTAATGTTTAGAATTGAGGCCGAACCGTTCAATCTTGGTTTCATCTTACCAGAGAATCCTCAGTCTGAGAGGCCTTTAGGTGCTTTTTTTGCAAACTCCAAGCGGGCTTTCATGTGTTTTGTATTGAGGAAAGGCTTCCGTGTAGCCACTCTGCCACAAAGCCCAGGTGGAAGGCTGCAATGCTGGTTGTCCTTAAACTTTATCCCATCTCCACCCAGGATCTCTGGAGCTCAGAGTGACTATCGGGTTCTTGGTCAATGCTCTTACTAAGGCCCTTCTTTCCTGATTGCACAGTTTGGCTGGGTGACCAGCTCTTGGAAGAGTCCTGGTTGTGCCAAACCTCTTCCATTTGATGATTATGGAGGCCACTATGCTCTTGGGTAGCCTTCCCCAGATCTGTGCCTTGCAATAATCCTATCTCTGAGCTCTGCAGGCACAGGTGGACTCCAATTTAGGTGCGGAAACATCTCCGCAATGATCAAGAGAAATGGGAGGCACCTGAGCTAAATTTCAAGTGTCGATGCATATAGGCTGAATACTTATGCCAATGTGATATTTAATTTTTTTCTTTTTTCATAGGTTTATGAATGCACTATGCATACAACACATACCATTGCTACACAAGACATTTATTAATATTTACCTTTCCCATTCAATCTGTAGAACTCTCATTTTCTGTAAATTTCAATGCAATATGGCAACCCATAGGCCTTATGTGCACAGTTAGTGTAAAGAACACTCCCAGAAATGTAATTTCTTGCTTGTGTGATTGGCTTACTGATTTTACCAAGTCTGCAGTCAGATACAAGTCACATTTTAGACATCCTGTACAGCATAAATGTAATTTTGGTGAGATACTCCCAAAGGATTATTCACTTCTAAAGGGATGTTTTTGCTACAACTTTCCTCCTTCGAAGCGTTGGTCCGTGTCAGTATGTAAACAGATTGCACCATGCATGTGAGGTATCACTGTGAACGTCAGATCGAGGGCAGTAATTCTAGCACTAGACCTCCTGTGTAAATAGAAAATGGGGGCTGTAAAGGCTTTTAAAGCACCGCCTATCGATATTAAAAATGTATGTACTTTGTTGCCATTGCAGTGGCATGTCCAATTTTAAGGAATGCCATGTTTGGTATCCATTTACTAAGCTTAACATCATCTTTTACATTTTATCAAACAATTGGGCAATATATTGTGTTTTTGTGCATTAAACTTCTAAAAAATGTATTTTTTCCCAAAAGATTTGCATTTGAAAAATTGCTGAGCAAATACCGTGTGATGTAAAATATATAAACACCCACCATTTTATTCTGTAGGGGTTCATAGTAATTGTCTAGCAAAAAAAAAAACAGTTTTTTCATGTGAACAAAAAGTGTCAGAAAAGAAAGACTTGGTGTTCAAGAGTGGGTGGTATGTGGCATCAGCTTCTAATGTTGGCCCTGAAATGCCAGGATAGTAGAAGCCTCCCTTCCAAATGACCCATTTTCGGAAAGTAGACACTCCAAGGTATTTTGCTAAGAGGCATGGTGAGTATTTTTCAGATTTCGTTTGTTGTCACGTTTTTTGGAAAACTAAGAAAGAAAAGGAGAATGTATTTTTTCTCTTTCAAAACCCTGTGACAAAAATGATATCTGTAAATTACTCACCATGCCTCACCATTCCTTGGGGTGTCTACTTTCCAAAATGGGGTCATTGGGGGGGGGGGGGGGGTGTTTGTACTATCTTGGCAAGTAGTTAAAATGTAACTCTAGTAAACCCCTTAAAAAAAAAAAAAAAAAAACCACTTCAAAGTATATGGAATTCCTGTTGCCATTATTGTGGACTCAAAGTAAAAAAAACAGTTTGATGTTAACCACTTGCCGTCCGCCCTACAACAGATGTATTGCTCAGGGCAGACGTTCTGTGCAAAATCATGTGATTTTGCACTTCTGTCATTGGGGGTGGGAGTGGCGCGCGCCTGCTCCCTGAGTGCCGCTTCTGCTGTGATTGGACACAGCAGAAGCCGGTCAACAGGTGCTGGCCAATGGATGAGCACCAACACCTGTTGATCGCTGAAGAGACTGAAATAACACAGCTCTGCCTATGTAAACCAGGCAAAGCTGTGTTATGTCAATGGCGATCTGCTAAGTTTTATTCAGGGAATAAAATCTAGCACATTGCCTAGTTAAAACGGCACACAATGCACACAAAAACCCTGGCTAGGTACACAATTAACCCTTTGATCGCCCTAGATGTTTAACCCTTTCCATCCAGTGTCATTAATACAGTGACCATGTATATTTTTAGCACTGATTACTGTATTAGTGTCACAGGCTCCCACAAAGTGTCAGTTAGCAACAGACTGTCCACTGCAATATCGCAGTCCCACTACAAATTGCTGATCTCCGCCATTATTAGTGGGAAAAATAACTTCCAGTATCTATGCCGCCATTTGTAGACGCTATAACTTTTTATACGCGTATTGGGATTTTTTACCACAATTGTGTAGCAGAATACATTTTGGCCTACATTTATGAAGAAATTAGATTTTTTAAATTTTTTTATTGGATGTTTTATAGCACAAAGTAAAATGTGTATATATATATTTTTTAAATGTTTTCTCATTTATAGCGCAAAAAATAAAAACGGCAGAGGTGATAAAACATCACTAAAAGAATGCTGTATTTGTGGGGAAAAATGACCCAAAAATTTTTCATTTATGTACAGCGCTGAATGACCGCGTAGTTATCAGTTAAAGTAACGCAGCGCCGTATTGCAAAAAATGGCCTGGTCAGGAAGGGGGGCAAATCATTCGGATGGCAAGTGGTTAAAGTGGCTTTGCACAAATGTTGTTAAGCAGTTCAGTCTGAAATGCCCGTGTTATTGTAACTAAATCATCTACTGGTAGCTCTGTATCTTTGCATGGTATTTTGTTATGTCTCATGCAGGAGACGTCTGCTCCAGCAGAACACTGATAAAATATTGCACAATTCTAGTCTGTAGTCATGTGACTTGTCAGTATTCACAAGTAGCACAGAAAACAAAGCCCCGCATGGCAGCTTTTTTTTTTTTTAAATTAGTGACAACAAGCAGGGTGAGAAGATCCTCTGCTAGCTGTCACCCTATCCCGTGGCTCCAGCAGTGGGAACACATTACATGTTTCACCCAAAAAAATTATGGAACATGTCATATGTTCCCAAAGGTGAACTTATCCTTTAATACACTGCACTGGAATGTGCTACGGAAAAGATATAACATGTCCTTCTTTTTTTTGGGAAATGTTGCCCATTACTGCTGATGTCAGCAGGCTCTTCGGTCTTAGTATAATGCTGTGTTGGATGGATGCAGTTGGTAGACTAGGTGTAGAGACTTCACTGTACCTGAAAGATATAGAAGGTGGTGGTTTTAAATATCATTTGATAATTTCAGGTTACAGAAAAATGCACTGACGTTTGCATAGGTAGTTCACACCATTTGAGTGATGACGTCATTATCCTAGAAAATTCTAGGCCAACCTGTCATTTGACTGGAGCCAAAAGGCTGTTTGTTTGTTTTTGGGGGGGGGGGGTTTCGGATAGTTGTGCTCTTGTTCTTTTTTTTTTTTTTTTTAAATTAATTAATTTTTATTCTTACAGACTTGTTACTGACAGGTCAGTTTTAAGGCTTTGAAACTTTAAACAAGAAGTTGTTTGTGAAGTGTCATTGATATTAATTATTATTATTTATTTATTAATTATAGGTACTTATATAGCGCCAACAATTTATGCAGCTTATTATTTTATTATACAGGATTTATATAGCACCAACAGTTAGCTGCTGTTCTATGTTCTTCAAGGATGGTGGGCCTCAGTTATCAGAGTGGAATTTTGTTTTTAAAAAGCCTCGTAGTTTTAATGAGCACATTCAGCTGTGTGATCTATATTTTCATTAAAGCTAATACATTTTAATTAGTGATATTTTGATCTTTCACAGAAAGCCATTAAGCATATTAGTCAGCCAAGCAATTATTATATTTATTTTCAGTTTGCCGTCAGACTCCAATTCCTCAACCCCCAATCAGTCACCAGGAGAGAGGGCACTTAGGCTGTCTGCGGAAGAGAGAAGAGCTCAGGACAGGAAACATCTGGATGACATCACTGCAGCTACACTTCCACCACTCCATCATTCACCAGCCCTGTTACTACCTCTCGAGGAATCTCTGACTCTACAGATAGAACAGAAAAAGACTTATGAGGTAAGTTATTTTTCCAATGGAAAGTATAGGAACACCTAGCATAGGATGTTAAAAAAAAAAAAAGCATATATGTATAAAGCAGATAAGTTGCTATTGTATTGCATAATATGCCAAGTTAGCCAAGGTCTCCTAATTTTGTACGTTATGAATTATGCCAGTAGACCTATCCCAGTGCCATGTGCTAGGCAATACCCTTTATACATTTTTTTCCTCTTTTCTAGGAACCATAAATATTCTTGGAAGTTGGTAAACAGAGAGTTGCTATGTCCATAGTAGGAATAACAGCCATGCTGTATCCAGCAGCCTGATATGTGTATAGTAATAGATCATTTGTGTTTATAAGAGTCGTCATTGAAGTGTTCACCTTTTTCATTTTTTCTGACTTTACAGCTCCACCCCCTCCTCGTTCCCAGCTATTCTTACTCCAGAGATGCTGATCGGTCAGTGCCCACACAGCCAGTCCAGCAGTCCACAGATACAAAATCCCCATTCTTCTTTCCTCTTCCCTGTGCAGTGCTTCCGGGATGGACCAAAGCGATTCAGCTTGCAGATGCTGACCAACCAGTATCGATGTGGTCTGTCCCTGAAGCTCTGTACAGAGAAGAGGGAAAAGAATGAGGATTTCACACCTCTGGACTGCTGGACCGGCTGCATGGATACTCACCTCACAGCATCTCTGGAGTTAAGTACAATAGGTAAGGTGGTGAGGGTGTATGGTGTTAGACCACCTTTTAATTATTTCCCAAAAGATGAACAACCACTTTAAAGCAAAGCCGATGCAAATACCTAATGCTGAGTTTTTGTATAGCTCAGCTTTAGTCCTCATGCACACTGGTGTTTTAAAAAGCTGTATAAAGTCACATTAAAAACACGAGTTTTCCACATTTTTAGTGTTTTTTCCACAGAAAATGAATAAAATTTTGTCTAAAGAAACCCCCCGCAGTTTTGCCACGTTTTAACGCATTTACCAGTGTTAGAGCATTCTTACAGCTAAAAACTCCTCTAGAAAACACTAGTTCTGGGTTTTCTTTTTCCACCCAAAAAATGCCTCTGCCAAAAAACACTGCCTAAAGCCTACGTGTGCATGAACACATAGGATAACATGCTGGGGAGTTTACTGGCTGTAGAAAAAAATGCCAAAAGCCAAAAACAGCCGCTGTAAAAATGTCCAGTGTGCATGAGGACTTAAAGTAATAGGGATAGTTAAAAAGTAATTTTAATAGGAAGAATATTTTGTTCAAGCTCTCCCAGTAGAAGAAAGTTTACAGATTTGTTGATTCTCTTTCCTTTTGATTGCTCAATAGCTAGTTTCTGATCTGATTTCCCATCCCAGGGTACAAACCAATCTTATGTAAAGTCATTTAGTCAACTGCATGACAAGTACAGTATTTGTACAGCTTCTAAATTTATATTCTCATTTGCAGCCACTGAAGAGGAAGCCATGTGATTCTTGAGCAGGGCTTGGGCTACAATGTTCTGTCTTAGTGTGCTGCCACTTGCACTAAAACCAATATTAACATAGTTTTGGTTTGCGAACACAGCCCTGCAGCAAGTTTAGTATTAATGGATTACTGATTATAGCAGATAACTGACAGGACAGTTGGGCAAACACTGCCACAACTCAGGTTCAGATTTGGAATCTTTGATTTTTGTTAACTAGTGATCACAGTGCATGCTCAGCAGCTGGTAGGAAAGAACACATCTTGTATGTGTCGTCTTATTTATGATATCACTTCCAGTTCTATGGGAGAATGAGTTACTCAGTCCAGCACTGTCTCCAGCACTGGCTCTGCAGTTATTTGAGTAATATGGAGAGAGTCTCTTATAGTCTTCTAGAATGTGAGAGCAGTCTCTGACCACCTTGTGTAATATGGAAAGTCTGTACTCTCGTGTAACATAAGCAGTGTCTAATGCTAGAGGCTTCTTTCATTTCTGTGTATCCAATTTAACAGCGTCTCATTTCATGTCTCTTTCTAATTGACATTGTAATTGTAGCCCCAACATCATTGTACAGTGGGGATCGAAAGTTTGGGCACCCCAGCTAAAACTTTGTATTAATGTGCATAAAGAAGCCAAGGAAAGATGGAAAAAACTCCAAAAGGCATCAAATTACAGATTAGACATTCTTATAATATGTCAACAAAAGTTAGATTTTATTTCCATCATTTACACTTTCAAAATAACAGAAAACAAAAAAATGGCGTCTCCAAAAGTTTGGGCAATCTGCAGAATTTATAGCATGCACTGCCCCCTTTGCAAAGCTGAGACCTGCCAGTGTCATGGATTGTTCTCAATCATCATCTAGGAAGACCAGGTGATGTCAATCTCAAAGGTTTTAAATGCCCAGACTCATCTGACCTTGCCCCAACAATCAGCACCATGGGTTCTTCTAAGCAGTTGTCTAGAAAACTGAAACTGAAAATAGTTGACGCTCACAAAGCTGGAGAAGGCTATAAGAAGATAGCAAAGCGTTTTCAGATGTCAATATCCTCTGTTCGGAATGTAATTAAGAAATGGCAGTCATCAGGAACAGTGGAAGTTAAAGCAAGATCTGGAAGACCAAGAAAAATATCAAACAGAACAGCTCGCAGGATTGTGAGAAAAACAATTCAAAACCCACGTTTGACTGCACGATCCTTCCAGAAAGATCTGGCAGACACTGGAGTTGTGGTACACTATTCCACTATAAAGAGATACTTGTACAAATATGTTCTTCATGGAAGAGTCATCAGAAGAAAACCTCTTCTACGTCCTCACCACAAAAATCATCGTTTGAACTTTGCAAATGAACATATAGACAAGCCTGATGCATTTTGGAAACAAGTTCTGTGGACCAATGAGGTTAAAATTGAACTTTTTGGCCGGTATGAGCAAAGGTACGTTTGGAGAAGAAGGGGCACAGAATTTAATGAAAAGAACCTCTGTCCAACTGTTAAGCATGGGGTTGGATTAATCATGCTTTGGGGTTGTGTTGCAGCCAGTGGCACACGGAACATCTCACGAGTAGAAGGAAAAACGGATTCAATAAAATTTCAGCAAATTTTGGATGGTAACTTGATGCCATCTGTGAAAAAGCTGAAGTTAAAGAGAGGATGGCTTCTACAAATGGATAATGATCCTAAACACACCTCGAAATCCACGGGGGATTACATCAAGAGGCATAAACTGAAGGTTTTGCCATGGCCTTCACAATCTCCTGACCTCAACATAATTGAAAATCTATGGATAGACCTTAAAAGAGCAGTGCGTGACAGACAGCCCAGAAATCTCAAAGAACTGGAAGACTTTTGTAAGGAAGAATGGGCAAAGATACCTCAAACAAGAATTGAAAGACTCTTGGCTGGCTACAAAAAGCGTTTACAAGCTGTGATACTTGCCAAAGAGGGCAGTACAAGATATTAACTCTGCAGGGTGCCCAAACTTTTGCAGACGCCATTTTTTTGTTTTCTGTTATTTTGAAAGTGTAAATGATGGAAATAAAATCTAACTTTTGTTGACATATTATAAGAATGTCTAATCTGTAATTTGATGCCTTTTGGAGTTTTTTCCATCTTTCCTTGGCTTCTTTATGCACATTAATACAACTTTTTAGCTGGGGTGCCCAAACTTTCGATCCCCACTGTAACATACAGCTCTCTCTAACGCAGCGGTTCTCAACCTGGGGGTCGCGACCCCTTTTGGGGGTCGAACGACCATTTCCCAGGGGTCGCCTAAGACCATCGGAAAACACATATTTCCGATGGTCTTAGGAACCGAGACACCGCTGCAGTCTCCGGCGATGTGTGGGCGGGATGATACGCTGCTGTCACCTGGCCACACCTCCGGGATCGCTCAGCAGCTCCGCCTCCTCGCCGCTGATTGGCCACCGGAACTGTAGCTCAGGGAGAGGCACACAGGCGGCCAATCACCGGCGAGGAGGTGGAGCTTGGAGAGGAGGAGCCAAGCGGCAGCGCGCGTACATCAAAGAAGACCGAGGGAGCTGCCGGAGCGAGTGAAGAGGAGAGCGGCCAGAGAAGTTAGACAGCTGACAGGTAAGTGAGAGAGCGAGCCCAGGCTGGAGCAGGGGTCAGCAAAGTAAGTATCATTGGTGTCAGTGGGAGGAATAGTGCCCCATCATTTGTGTCACTGACACCAACGATGGGGCACTATTCCTCCCCCCCACTGACACCAACGATGGGGCACTATTCCTCCCCCCACTGACACCAACGATGGGGCACTATTCCTCCCCCCACTGACACCAATTCCCCCCCACTGACACCAACGATGGGGCACTATTCTCTCCCCCCACTGACACCAACGATGGGGCACTATTCCTCCCCCCACTGACACCAACGATGGGGCACTATTCCTCCCCCCACTGACACCAAGATGTGGCACTATTCCTCCCCCCACTGACACCAACGATGGGGCACTATTCCTCCCCCCACTGACACCAAACGATGGGGCACTATTGACACCAACGATGGGGCACTATTCCTCCCCCACTGACACCAACGATGGGGCACTATTCCTCCCCCCACTGACACCAACGATGGGGCACTATTCCTCCCCCCACTGACACCAACGATGGGGCACTATTCCTCCCCCCCTGACACCAACGATGGGGCACTATTCCTCCCCCCACTGACACCAACGATGGGGCACACTATTCCTCCCCCCACTGACACCAACGATGGGGCACTATTCCTCTGACACCAACGATGGGGCACTATTCCTCCCCCCACTGACACCAACGATGGGGCACTATTCCTCCCCCACTGACACCAACGATGGGGCACTATTCCTCCCCCCACTGACACCAACGATGGGGCACTATTCCTCCCCCCCACTGACACCAACGATGGGGCACTATTCCTCCCCCCACTGACACCAACGATGGGGCACTATTCCTCCCCCCCACTGACACCAACGATGGGGCACTATTCCTCCCCCCACTGACACCAACGATGGGGCACTATTCCTCCCCCCACTGACACCAACGATGGGGCACTATTCCTCCC